CGATACTCTCTGTCTTTACTTGCTCCCAGCATTATAAAATTAGTAACATTATTAGTACTTCATAAGATGCTTGTTAAGCCACTAAAGCATTCTTCATACTTATGCATCCTAAGAAATATAAGAAATATATTTAATTCTTCTTTTCTCTCATCTGAAATAGCTTGTTTTCTTTGCCTTTTTTAAAAATTGTACTTTATTAAATTTCTACAAAGAATAAAAATATTTTTTTAAATATAAAATTTAGGATAAAAAGATAGGAAAGGGCAAAGTATAAGGGATAAATGGAGAGCCCCCCCGAAAGAAAAGGGGGGGGGGAATCCCAACTTTCTTTAATACAATAGGTTTAGGTTAGGTTTAATTTATTTGTATACAATTATAAATATAGAATACAGGTAGTCCTTGACTTAAAACCACTGAGGCCAAAATTCTGTTAAGTGAAACATTTGTTAAGTGACTTATGTCCCATTTTATGACCTTCCTTGCCACAGTTGTTTTAGTGCTGTTGTAACTTTGAACGGTCACTAAATAAACTGTTTTAAGTTGAGGACTACCTGTACTTTTTGATCTGAAATTCAATATTACCACACCATTTCTGTAATCATAATTCTGATAATCAAATTACAGAATTACTATAGCATTTCTTTTGGTGTCAAGCAAAAAGTAGTTTTCATGTAGAAACAAAGCTAGACAATGTTTTCATAATTAGTTTTGTCACCTCACCACTTCCATTAATTCCAACATTTATTCCTCCATTGTGGGAATTTGTAGATCTTTCCATCCCTATGCATGCAAATGTCTCGCTGCTGTTACGATATGTAAAAACAAAGTCCCCTGTTTTTCCCTAACAGCTTATCCAACATGCCTAGAAGAAAAAAAAAACCTCTGATTTCAATTGTACACATATTTTTAAAATGTTCTGAATTAAAATATATATCTGATCTCAATAACTCTTATTTTTTTAATATGTCCATCAAAAGTTATAAAAGTTCCCTTTGGATTGATTACATTTCCAACATCTTGTATATTTGACACACCATTTATACCAGTTTTAAATTTTTAAAACCATTATTTTCCCTTTTGGGTCCAGAAAGAATGTTGACTCATCAGGTTGAATCCTCCTATCCTGTTACTCAGAAAATCTCTCTTTAGATATACATTAATTACGTCCAAAAGTGCTTAAGAAGGCTTGTGCAAATGTTGTGTCCACAGAGGCTGCATCATAGCTGTGAGCTAGATTGGGAACTCTCAATTCCCAAGCATTCAACTCACCAGTTGACCGCATGAACCTTAGTTCCTACAGCATTCTGGAGTGCAAATGGGCAATCTCTTGTCTCTCCTTTGTATCTGGAAAGACAGTGAGGGCCAGAATTCATCCTCTGGCTGCTGATCATTACCACATTGCAATTCCCACCCCTGCAGGGAAATCTGGTTCACCAGAGATCTTCACTTGCAAGCCCCAGAGTGGATACTTGCAATGGAAAAACACTTCCTGCAGTTTGTATATTAAGGGATTTGAAAAATATACAGGTAGTGCTCAATTTACACCCTCCATTGGACCAAAACTCCTGTTGGCTAAGCAAGACATTTGCAAAGTGAGTTCTGCTCCATTTTACTATTTTTCTTGCCACATTTAAGTGAATCAGTTCAGTTGTTAAGTTAGTCTGGCTCCCCCAACGACTTTGCTTGTCAGAATGTTGCAAAACCCTTCAATCGTCATAAATATATGCCAGTGGCTAAACATCTGCATTTTGTTCATATAAACATGGGGAATCTGCAACATTCATAAGTGTGAAAAAGGGTCACAAGTCACTTTTTTCAATGCTATTGTAACTTCAAATGGTCACTAAGTGAACTGTTGCAAGTTGAGGACTACCTGTATTAAGTTTTTCCTAGGCAACAATTATTTTTACAGTGTAATGTTTTATATATTAAAATGCCTTCAGAAATATAGCCAAGTAATATAGTTGTAATGTGCTACTGAAGTACATTGGGAAAATGCTTTCATGGTCTGGGATTAAATTTAAGGTACTTAGAAACAAGTTTATTGTTGTCAGAAGCTTTGGGCCTTGTTCCTAAATTAAAAACCTATCTCATCATTTCTTAATACATATTATTTTAATAATAATTACCGTATTTTTTGGACTATGACAACTTTTTTGTCTCCCAAAAGGGGGTGAAAATGTCTGTGCATCTTAGACTGAATATTGCCGAAGCCCCGCCCACCCACCAGCCATTTTTTGGCCTCCGCACACCCTCTTTTGGGGCCTTTTTCAGCCCACTTTTTAGGCTTTTCTCAGTTCATTTTTTGAGGCTTTTTTTGGCCCATTTGTTTTTGAAAAAATGGGCCAAAGTAAGTCTCGAAAATGGGCCACAAAAAGCTTTGAAAACAGGTCCCAAAAGCCTAGAAAATGAACTGAGAAAAGCCTCAAAAATGGCCAAAAAAGTATCAAAAAATGGGCCAAAAAATCCCTCAAAAATGGGCCAAAAAGCCTCTAAAGGGGTTGAAAAAAAGCCCCGAAAATGGGTAGAAAAAAGGCTGGAAAAGGGCAGAAAAAAGGTCTGAAAATTGGGTGCGTGGTGGCTCAAAACCTTTTTTTGTTGTTGGTTTCCTCTTCTAAATTTAGGTGCTTCTTATATTCAGGTGCGTCTTATAATCTGAAAAATATGGTAAATTTTGTGGAACACATACTGTATAATTCCTAGACTAGGTGAAATGTTAGAACTATTCATTATTCACAGAGGTTCTTCCCATACGCTAAATAAATCTCAGAGGTTACAAGAGTTAGACTGTTGAAGTGTTTGTATGGTTGGAATTAGATTCCAAGCTTTTTCATTTCAGCTCCTGGAAATGTCGTTTAACTGCCTGGACGATGTGGAAAGCACCATTCCAGTCAGCCCTTTGCACTTAGCTGTAAGTCTCATTATTATAAAACCATATTGGGTACAGTTGGGTCAAATTTAATTACACTAATTACCATTTGAATGCCAATGTTTCATTTGCTTCGGTGAGGAAAGTGGACCTAAGCTGTAGATCTGCATCATTACATTAAATCCCTCTTGATCCCTATATCAGTCTATCTGTTGATTGTGCTTTCAGGCCTATAATGGTCACTGTGAAGCCCTGAAGACGCTTGCCGAAACCCTGGTGAACCTGGATGTGCGGGACCACAAAGGGCGGACGGCTTTGTATCTTGCCACAGAGAGGGGCTCTACGGAGTGCGTGGAGGTGCTCACCAGCCATGGTGCTTCTGCTCTTGTGAAGGAGAAAAAGAAGAAGTGGACACCCCTCCATGCTGCTGGTATGAGCACGTCTTATTTCCTGTTGAGATGCTGGAATTCTCTTAGTTGCTCTTGCAAAACAGACTTGGGGCATCCACTGGGTCTTTAAAGAAACGACAGTTATTAAGAAGCAGGAAATCCTGTTCATTGTCATTTTATTTCTTACAGCTGCCTATGGGAACACAGATTCCCTGCATCTTCTCATTGATAGTGGGGAGAGAGTCGACATCACTGATGTCATGGACATCCATGGACAGTAAGTCTCCAGCTATTTTTATATATATACTAGCCGATAACCCGGCATTGCCTGGGTATTTATTTATAGAGGGAAAATGTCCAGACCAAACATAATTTGTAATGTTGGATTTTCCCCCTTACCAGAGGGAGCCCCCTTGTGGAGTACTGTGAAGCGGTAACTCCACTGGACTGTACAGTAGAAGCCATTTTGTGGCAGTACAGTAGAAGCCATTTTAAGGTACAACAGGCCGTATCCTAACAGAACACCCCTCCCCCCCGAGAGGTTTTTGGGGTTTCTTACCCCACAGTATTTGCTTCCATCTGTGTACCAAGTTTGGTTATAATTGCTCGAGGTGTTCCACAGTTATGCTGGAACATACATACCACAGCTATTTTTATATATAGAAATATATAAAATTTATTTTATATAAATTTTGGGTGGGGGAAGGAAGAAGAAGGCAGGAAGAAGATGATATATGAATTTATTTGGCCTATAAGTCATTCCAATGGCAAACAGGAATGGGCTTGTTCCTTACAAATTCCAGTTTACTATACAAATCCGAAGCAGGACTGCATGTATTGCCAGCTGGGCTCTGAATGCGTCTGGGCAATAAAGGGCTGGAGAGGCAGATGAACCCCAGTACCGACAAGAGAGAGTTCTTACTCATTTGGGAGTGAGCTTCTATGTTGAGGGAGAAACACCTGAGATACATTTTCCCTTAAAGATTTGATGTTCAGTTGGCAAGTCTTTCTAAGCATTGAAATTGGAGAGTCGAGAAGCATCAGTGAAAAGGAGAATATTTTTAAAAAAATACTTCTGCTAGTAAATTCCCTTTCTTAGAGGGGAGACAGGTGACTTTGGTGATTTATGTGCTTAGGTAACCCCAGTGGTTTATTATTATGATATGGTTTTTATGGAACCAACCCTTCAAGCTATTCAAAAAATTTCATCTGGTCCGGGATACAGAGCACAGGTTAGGGTTAGCTCAGTGATGCCTCCATATTCAAACAGTTTCACAATTTCCAGTAATTAATTCAAAATTTCTGTAAGGGTGTATGTTTTATGTGGTCAAAGACTAAAAAACTGATAAGGCTGCCTCCTCTTATACGGCCTGCTCAACACTCTGTGATCACCAAGAGGCAGCTTTTGTGCACCCTCCCATAGAGACATCAGATCTTTATAATATAATTTTCTATCTCCATGATGGGGCCCATATGTTATGGCAAAAACTGTTAGCAGACTTTTCCATTTTACTGTTAATTTATTATTAATTTATTATTAAATTAACTTGCTTTATTTTATTTTATGAGTTTTATTTTCTAATTATTTTAAAACTTCCTATTTTGTTGTTTTAATCATTTTCACAAAATCTATTTTAAAATTGTATTTCTTTAAGGAGCAGATGGCATACAAAATATTCTGAATAAATTAAAATATTTCTTTGTAACATACATACATACATATATATATTTACGAATAGAACATCATTAAAACCTCAAAAGTAGCTCTGTACAAACTGGCCCCAAGCCTAACTCCAAATTGTAGAAGTTAAACCTCTGTTTTTACAGCCTTTCAAAAAGATTCACGTGTACAGGGCACTAAACTAAATGTATTGGAGCACCAGAAGGGTGTTTAAAAAATGGCCAAAAGAATGTTTAGCTTTCTGAAAATCTCAGGGAAGAATAAATTACAGGGAAAATTATATGAGCAGATGATGGAGGTAATCTTAAGCCATGTCCCTCTGTTTGATCTACAAGGAGGTGTCCTAATGAATTCAAATATGTGCAGTTCTTTTTTTAGAGTTTTGAGGTTGGTTCGTTCTGCTAATCATCATTTTTAAATGCAAACTCCTTTCCTTCTACTTGCTATCTGTAATGAAAAAAATCCTTAGAACTGAGAACCTTGTTTCTATAGATGAAGATGCACTGAAATAAGCTTCCTTGAGTGCAAAGCTACAGCTAGAAGCTTTCTCAGTATATTCCACCCAAATGGCTTTTTCATTTCTGCTACTTCTTCTTTTCTAAAAATGGCAATAGCACCTAGAAGCGTGATGGTGAACCTATGGCACGCATACCAGAGGGGGCACACAGAGCCCTCTGTGTAGGCATGCATGCCATCGGGAGCTGCTCTTCTGGTTCAAAAAACAGGCCATTTTCCGGACCATTTTCAGGTCCTTTTTTGCCCCCAAACCTGCCCAAAAACAGGCATGCGTATACTGGCCAGCTTGTCTTCGGGTTTCCGGTGCTCCAGCACACGTGCACAGACATGCATATGCACACGCTTTCCGGTTTGGACACTCAGTGCCGAAAAGATTCGCAGTCACTGACCTAGAAGTTCTAATTCCTTTTGACCTTGATTTCTGCTTGACACATTGAATAAGAATGCTTGATTTAAATTTGTAGAATTCTTACAATTTTAATGTGACTACTAAAAAAGGGAGAGTAACCATAGCAATAGTATTGAATTACATTTTAATCAGAATTAAATATATGACGTCAAATTTAGTTTAGACATATTGCCACACACTTTCTGAATTACAGTCCCTAGCATGATGTTTGCCAGTCCTCAGATTTATTATTATTTTTTAAAGTATGACCATCACCTCATTTTTCAGCCCTCAGGAGTAATCAGAACAGATTAATGAAACTGTAATTGTTTTGTAGAAACTTCTTGGAATTAAAGATTTTTATTTTTGAGTTTCCCTCTTATTTTAACATCTGGGGTACTCTCGGTCCATTCTGCCCTTCATAAAGAGAATGCTTATTTTCTAAATTAGGGATAAGCCAAATTAGTAAATCAGTAGGTAGCTGACCTATTCTTGATTTTCTCACAGGACCCCATTGATGTTGGCAATCATGAATGGCCATGTAGATTGTGTCCATCTCTTACTAGAGAAGGGATCCACAGTGGACGCAGCAGACAGAAGAGGCAGGACCGCACTGCACCGAGGGGTAAGTGGAGGAATAGCTCTATATTGAATTGAATGAACAAGATCGTGAAATAGTCTTGTAGTTTTGGATGTGGAAAATTAAACATTTAAGTGTTCCACATTTTAAGCCAATTGGAGCATAGTGAATAGATCGTTGTCTGTTCCTCATCTTTGAATTGCACACTTGCCATTGATTCCAGAGTGTGCTTTGAATTTGGTGTACTTTACAGGTACACTTTCCCATCATTTGTTCTGTGACCAAAGTTGCAACATTGCTGGGGGGAAAGAAAGCTTCACAGGCCATTTGTAACCTTTGCAACATCCTTCAGTCATGCAACTGCCATTATAGTCAGTGCAGGTAGTCCTGTATCTGACCTGTGTGTTTTTTCCTCCTTTATTCCCTTCTTGCAGAGCAGAGAGATTGGAGACAAATCTCTTCTTGAAACAGATTTCAAGAGAGTACACTTCTATCCATCAAAAGTAGTGCAATCACACTGGCAGCAACAAAAAAAGAGTCAAACAAAGGAGAGATGGTCTACCAAAATAGCTTGCTTTTTTTGCCTCCCCTTTCTCTTGTAAGAAGAGAAAAGCGACTGGAGCAAAAAGGATTTCAAGAGCATAAGTGGGTTGCATACTGCATCCATGGCTCCCTGCCTCAACAGTGGCACAATCGCATTGCTTTTTATGTGTGTAAAACTGGATGCAGACATTCCAAAGGGCGGGATGGTGGTGGTGGTTAGAAACCAACAAGAATCAAATGTGTGAAACAACAAGAGTAATCTTGTCTCTTGTGCCAGAAAGAACAGTTGCGGTCATGTGATTTCCTACTTCCAGTAGCTATTGCTTTGTTTAATGGTGGAGTTGCCAATCCCAGTTAAGGTTGTTAAGCAAGGATTACCTGTATGAATACTGTAAACATGCTTGTGCTGGAAAGGAATATTTAGGCAAAAGAAAAGCTCGTTCGAGCAGCATCAGTTTTAATGTGAAAATAAAAGTTTCTATTGTTTATAGTGCAAGATTTATTGTTGTTATTGTTACATGGTACTTGGATTACAAGATTGGTTTACTTTGACCATGTCATGAGTCCAAATTCATTGGAGAGGTTAATGATGCTAAGAATGGTTAGTGAAACAAGGAGGAGAAAGCAAAGAGCATGCTGGTTTGATAACATCAACACTGATACAAAGATGAATTTCCAACAACTGGAAAAAGCCATGTTTGACAGGGTAGCATGGACAGCACTTACCTATGAAGTCACCAAGAGTCAGATAGAACCGAATGATTAAAACAACAACTTGGTATTATTATTGAATAAATAGAATATTTCGAGTGCCTGCTTTGCAAGACTTATTTCCATTTGTGATAGGTAATTTTTTTTTTCATTGCTTGCTGTTCTTTTTTTATAGGCTGTTACTGGCTGTGAAGACTGCCTTGCAGCACTGCTGGACCATGATGCCTTTGTATTGTGTCGGGATTTCAAGGGCCGGACCCCGATTCATTTTGCCTCGGTGTGTGGGCATTCTGAAATCCTGAGGACCTTGCTGCAGGCAGCGCTCTCTACTGACCCTCTGGACTCTGTAGTGGACTATAGTGGCTATTCACCAATGCACTGGGCTTCATACAGTGGTAAGAATGTAGAGATTCATGCACACCTTCTTTCATTATTTTCTTGCCCCAGGGAGAGACTACCACATCTGTCCTGTTAAATCACTGCTACAACACTGAGCAAAGTTAATTACTATAATATGACCTGATGGTTGCAGCAGAAGGCTGTGATGGCTAAAACTATGGATGTTCAATAATTTATGCAGCCGTTTTACCTGAAAGGCGATTACGTCTCCAGCAGATTCAGTGGGTCAGTAGAATGTAGGACAGACCTTTCCTTCTCCAAGTCATCTGTCAAGATCCTTTAGATTACTTGTGGCAAATATCTTATGGCTGGAAAGTGCAGTTTTCATTTCATTGGATTCCCAGGTGCTGTGTATTGTATAGGAGATTGCCATCAGGGTTGGTGTCCACATTTTCTGCCTACAGGAGGGATTTTGGTGGGCAAAATAGAGAGTTCCAAAGCCTCTCCATGCCTTCCAAAAATTCTTCTTAAAAGCTGCTCTCAGGCCCAAAAGGAATCCTGTGGTTCACATATGGTTGATAGAATAGTTTGTCCACTCTTGTTCTAGATCAGTGTTGGCGAATGCACCAGAAACCAGAAGAGCAGCCGTCTGGTGCCCATGTGCATGCTGGGAAGATGATCTTCCGGTTTCCGGTGTGCGCATGTGCACTGGCCACCTGATCTCCTGGTTTCTGGCACACATGTGCATGGGCAGACCAGCTGACCAGTGCACATGCATGCGCCAGAAACCAGAATGTCATCTATCAGGCATGCACACTGGGCGACTTCTTTTCTGGTTTCCGGTGCTCATGGAGACCACCTGGCCAGCGCACTGGAACCTGGAACAGCAACGGGCGATGGCTCTACATGCCACTTCCGGAACTCGTGTCATAGGTTCGCCATCACGGTTCTAGATTGTATCCTGTTCATACTGGCTTTAGTGGATGAAAATTGAAGACTGCTCCTCTTCCGTATCCTGATCTTTTCAACTGTTTTATTGCAGGAGAATTCAGTGGTGGTGGGCAGTTGTCTTTCTGGCAAGCATATCTGCTATCACTGATTTCTCATTGTGGATCATCTGATAAATATCTCCGAAAACTCTATGGATCCTTTGAAAACATAACATTCTTGTGAGGGAATAGCAGTAGATGCTTTATTATGATCAGGAACTTTATTTTATTGCAATAAATCATGGGATTCATGTACTGATTTTGATTAATTTGTATTTCCTTCAATTTTTGGGGGGGGGCAGAATTCTTGTTCTGGGGTACTATTCTGAAAGGTATCTTACCTTTTCTTTGAACTTTTATTTGTCAGGATTTGTATATCATGTTAAATCTTGCCTTAATAAAGAAAGAGGGGGAGGCATGCAGCTACCCTATGTGAACAAATCCAACAATATTGATTTCTCCATTTCAGTGTCGTTTAAATAGCCGGTATGGCTAAATGCTTGCAAAGAAGCCAAGACTCATAAGGCAACTCTAAACTTCAATTAAAATCTGACTTCTAATCCTACCCGGCCATTTAGAAGCACTTCACCATAATTCTGAGTTGAATGGTGTTGAAGTGTCAAGTTCCTGATTATTGTAATGCTTAGGTGGAAGAAGGAACAGTGCTTCATGAACGAGCCTGTGTGTTTTTTCGTGCATGTCTTGCATTCAAACTTGAATTCATTAACCCATTTTTTCCTGTTACGATACGCAAACACTGCCTTTGTTACAGACTAGCTCATTTAAATCAAGTCTCAAATAGAGTGTGGCTATTAAACTTCCAATTTCAGCCTGCGTTAAAGCTGCCTAAACATCTGAAAGGTTTAAAAAACAGCTCATACATTGATTTTGCCTGTCATACCCTTGATTTTGCCTATAAAAATGCCATGGGATTAGAAGGTGATCTAATAAATTCCCTTCTCTCTTTCCAGGGCATGAAGATTGTCTTGAATTGTTACTTGAACACAATCCATTTGCATACCTAGAAGGAAACCCCTTTACTCCATTGCACTGTGCAGTGTAAGTCATGGTAGACTCTGGAGAACAAAGTGTGTGTTTGTGCAAATGCATTAGGGATAAGCTATTCCAAGCAAAATGAGATGTGGATTTTGCTTTTCAAGTAGGGTTAACCCTAACCCTGCTTTGGATAACCCTTATGCCAGAGTATACCTCTCTTGATATCTCCCCCAACTTTTAAATTGTTAAGATATTATAATTTAGAGATAGCAGAATGAATTCTGCAAAGCAAAATGCCAGCTTCAAATATGAGTTCTCTTTTCTCTTGGCATCAAGTGGACTACAGTGGAAGTCTTTAAAAATAAATTAGCTATTACATGCAGCCCAGACCTATCACAAGAAATGCACATGCCCCACAAAAGAAAGAAAAGATAAAGAAACAATTTACCACTTGGCTTTCTAGGAAATAAGTGATTTCTTGCCTATTAATGATAGCCCTACTGTGTTTTTTGTAATTTTATATTCAGTAGAAATGCTGTCTGCATTTCCTAACCTGGGTATGCATACGCTGCTAGCTACAGTTCCAATCTATTCCAATAGCTAGCATAGCCAGAAGCTGGAAATTTTAGTCCAACCAGTATTAGGAAAAAATACAGACAGTACATTTTTGTTGCTAAATGAGACAGTTGTTAAGTGAATTTTACCCCATTTTACGACCTTTCTTGACACAGTTAAGTGAATCACTGCAGTTAAATTAGTAACACGGTTATTAAGTGAATCTGGCTTCCCCATAGACTTTGCTTGTCAGAAGGTCGCAAAACGGGGACACTGCAACCGTTATAAATATAAACCAGTTGCCAAGCATCTGAATTTTGATCATGCGACCATGGGGATGTTGAGTTCTAAGTGTGAAAAATGGCCATCAATGACTTTTCAGTGCTGTTGTAACTTCAAAACAGTCACTAAATGAAATGCTGTAAGTCAGTGGTTCCCAAACTTGGCAACTTTAAGACTTGTGGACTTCAACTCCCAGAATTCTCCAGCTAGCTCTTCTGGCTGGAGAACTCTGGGAGGTGAAGTCCACAAGTCTTAAAGTTGCCAAGTTTGGGAACCACTGACTTACAGCATTTCATTTAGTGACTGTTTTGAAGTTACAACAGCACTGAAAAGT